GGTTCGAACTCCACATATGGGATCCTGGGTGCGCACTGCTCACCAGTCTCATACTAGGATGAAACGGCCATCCAGTACCTTCAGGTTTTCAATAGTAATCTAACATTGATCGATTCATGAACTCAAATAATATTTCTGCTGTAAGTTAATGACGTCTGTAGCTAATGAGAAGCCTTGAAATATAATGAATTCATTTTATTCTGCAAATATTATTATTCTATCTTTACAGTTTTCTATCTAATTTTTGAATTCATTCAAAGGATGCAGTACAGATAGCCTATAAAGATTGAGCAGTTGCATGAAGATAAAATATGATAGAAATTAATTGTAAAATGGATGGTATGTGGTTAGCAGTGGAATTCAAGGCGTGGAACCTATTTGAATGTGCCACAATTCTGGAATCAATTTTCAGCGACGGAATTCTAACCCTCTCACTTCAAACACTCAATGTGTTATCCACTTAGCTACTGAGTCCAGATAGCAATTCACTTATCCAGTGAGTGTAGATTTTAGATAAGTGTTTGATGAGTTGAATATCTGAAGCAGAAGTGGATCCTGGAGTGAATATCAATATTAAGATGCAGGTAAATCCAGTCGGTTAGTCCCAAATAGGATGAATTGTATGTCATAGATTCCACTAATTGCCAAATCTCATCCATACGATACAAATTATTAAAGTAATGGGTATATCGAGTCTGTTTAAACGAGATACACATATGCTAAGGCTGATCAATGGTATAATCTAAATCATTACAAGTTAAACTCAAAGTCAATCGGTTTATTCAGTGATTCAATTCAAGATGAACATCATCTACAAATCAAAAACATTTCACTATTGTCTGATTTCAACATGATTCCCTGAAACCATAATCAATAGAATTCAGATATTTTTCCGTTTTGACACAATTACCACTCATGGAATTGGCTGGCAGTTGAGTTATATCTCGAAACGGGTACCAGTAGACACCAGCTCAATAGTTTTGACACCTAAACCTTCAAATTCAGGTGAAACACATGACTAGTAGTACCACAATTGAGAATAACTTATGATGAATATTACTTATAGACTCAATTGCCGCTTCAGTTGGAACTAAATATATTTCACATTGGAAACATTCATAAACGTGGTTACACACAAGAAATTACTGACCTATTCTTAATGAATTTAATGGTTTATAGTTATTCGAAAGATCTGACTATTAGTCAATGAAAATTAAAGTCAATGTAAAATTAAGTGTGTTGTATGGTAAATAAATATGCTTCTTAATGACTGTCACCAAGAGTTATTCCTGGAGTTCTAGTGAGAAGCCGTGACCAGTAGAGCTAATTTATGTTGGCTAGAGACAGGTATCTACCTCAGTACAATGGAAGACCGTCGCGCAAATTCGTGGATTAGTTGACGTTAGACATTGACACCGTCGGATGCCGGCTCAATGGTCCAGAGGTTAAACGTTCGTGAACGAGACTGGTAGGCCCTGGGTTCGAATCTCGCGGGGCTGGACCATGGATGCGTACGGCTGACGAGTCCCACACTGGGGTGAAGCGGGCGTCCAGTGCTTCCAGGTTATCCAATGGTGATCTAGCTTCAACTGACTCGTGAATTCAATCGTTAAATTATATTTCTATGTATTTTTAACTTGAACTGAATCGAATGGCAATTCGATAATCTGGTGAAACTTCATCAGTGTAATAAGTACGATAAGGTTTATGTTTATTTTGTACTGGAAATGCTAATTAAAACCGTCTTTAAAGATGGAACTTTTAATGAATAGCATTTCTTAATCATAGTGTGGTATGCACTACTAATGCGGGCAGATATAAGTAGTGTGTAGCAGATCGTTGGATGTTTACCAGCAGAAGAGTGAAGTAAAGAGAAGAGGAAGGAAAATAGAGAGCAATGGAAATGACAACAGAATCGGAAGAATGATGAAGTGTGTAAAGGACAAGTGAAGGGAGATGTGCAAATGATTTTGTATTACACAATAAGTGGGTTGAGCCCAATAAGTTTTCATTCACTACAATAGTGTTAATAAAAATACTAGTTGAAGGTAATATACATTAATTTGTTGCGAAACTTTAAGCACCGAGGAGTAACAGTGTTGGTCGAAAGTGTCACAGTGAGGTCAATTGCCAATAAAGTGTTTGATTCACGACTGATTTTGTGTAAGAGTGATTTGTTTATACTAATTGGTCACTGAATAGTAAACATAATCATTGATTGTTTTTACAGTTAATCGAATTCTATCGATTAAGTTAGTGTGTTTATTTATTTAAGCACATAAATATTGTTACATGGAGGCAACAAATACATATGCGCCACATAAGTCATTCGATTTTTGTGAGAGCCGGGATACTGTACGGCTGCCTAAACCGAAGCAGATGGTTTTCTTAGAGTGTCACATCCGGATCCTTCGACCTAAAGGTCCCATCCGCAAGACAGTGGAGCAACGTAAGGAGATATAGTTCCATGGCAGTCGATAATCATGCGTCATTTGTTCCTTCAGGATGCTGCAGACCATGTGCACCATTGGTTTGGAATGAGAGTTTTCCAATTTCCGTAGGTGGATCCTCTGTGTCCACCAACCCGGTTAAAGCGTCGGACACTCGCTTTTGTTCGTGTCAATTTCGTAAACAACATCCATGGTGTAAGAAGGCAGTGAGTATGACTTCCCTGATAGTGGCTGTATACACATGGTTATGTGCGTGTATTTCGAGAGAGAGAGAGAGAGAGAGAGAGAGAGAGAGAAGGAGCTGACTCTCTCCACTCTCGGCCGTACCACGGATGAATAACACTTCTACTCAGTTCTCTTCGTTCATAGATAATACATCATTTTGCGCTGATTATCTCATATTTAAAATGATTAGCATGTTACTTTATAACAATTATATAAGTGATTACATTCAATCAAAAACTGTGTATAAGTTAACAACATAATAACTATATTCTTAATTCGAAATGTAACAGTAATGTAATGAAATACTTGTTACATAATGAATGTTTATATGAATTATGTAATCACAAGACTTGTTCATTACAAGTAATCTTAAATACATTCGTCTACCTACCGCTTGATATTACAAACATTTCAGCAAAACTAATTTACATGTACTTATCAAAACTACAGGTAATTTGGTTAAAGGAATTTGATTTCAATGAAGTTAGTTAGTCACAAACAGTGTAGAATCTTGTATACACGTATATTGATCTGTAATAATTCAGTTTTGCGTCAGTTAAACGGAATAAAAAATCTGAACGATTTATCTCGAGATACTTCGTCGATTTTATAGCGAAACACATGAGGGCTTACACTAAACGATGTCGGGAGCTAGAAAGTCATTATCAATGACACTGAAGAATCACCGTGCTGTTTTCAAAGTTTAGTCAACTAAGATTTGGATATGGGAACTGTGTTAGACCTGGAGCTTTTCAGCTTAATCCTTGGTGGTATCAAGGGTTTGTACTGTTGAGGAATTCCATGTCGGAACAAAACACTTGTTCAGTACTCTCGAAATTTCAATGATTCTTCAATTGATATTAGTCCGATTGCAACACTATAACTGATGTATTTCTACTATAGTTCACACTGGTGAGTATCTATCAAATTTGAGAATAATGATTTCAGAGGTTTTCTGTCGATTATAATATAGTATTTCTAATTTGTATTTCAGCTTCCTTCGAAACTCTAAATATCTCAGCTGAAGTAGCTTTAGTGGTACAATGGAAACACATGGAGCCGACAAACATAGTGCTTTTCAGGTTTAACCCATTTTATAATGTTTCAACAAAAGTCGATTTAATAAATACACAAACCGAGCTAATGTTGTTAGACGTGCACAACCGGCTTTGGAAGGTCTTATTATTATCATTCGATAGTGGATTCACTGTCCGAATGATTGACGAACTGAATTAAGAAAAGTTACTATCTATGTACAAGCATTTGCGGTTGAGAAAGTTGTGTACGGAATTCATACAATACCCTAAAAGCTTCCAGCTTTAATCAGTCATTATGATCATACCATCCAATCAGGTCTATGAGAACCTCTGAAAACGGTTTACACACTTAATGTTAATTCTAACCAAAAAATTTCGGAACCCAATAAGTGCTACTACCATTCATAAATGTGCAGTTTTAAAGTCCAGTAATCTAAACACGTATTTCACTACTGAGTTATATTAGAATAAATATACGATAAAATTATTTATTTAAACACATAAACATTGGTACAAGAAGGCACCAAGTAGATATGCACGACATAAATCATCCGATTTGTGTGAGGGCTGTGATACTGATCGGGTGCCCCGACCGAAGCAGATGTTTTTCTTAGGGGGCCACACCCCGAGCCTTTGACCTAAAGGTCTGATCCACAAGGCAGTGGAGCATCGTAAGGAGATGCAGTCCCATGGTAGCCGGTGACCAACGATTGGTTCATACACCATTTGTTCCCTCAGGATACTGGAGCCCATGTGCACCATTGGTCTGCAATCCGGTTAAAGCGCCGGACATTCGCTTTTCGTTCTCTCAATTTCGTAAACAACACCCCCGCCACGAGAAGGCAGTGAGTAGGACTTTTCTGGCAGAGGCTGTATACGCGTGGCCGTGTGAGAGTATTTCGAGAGGGAGGGCGGGCCCACCCAACTCTCGGCCATACCAGGGCATTTGATCCGAATGCATTGTGGTGATATAATAATACTGTTTATTTCATTCGTTAGATAATAGCTAGGATAATCAGTAAGAGAAAAAGGCCTCTTGAAAAAAAATAAAAAAGTACTTTTTTTCATTATTTAGTTCACTACATGATCAAATGGAAGAAAACACTACAATGTGTAGATCCCTTAAATATAATCACGATCGGTTTATGCATAAGATGTTCAAACAAACCAAGGTGATACACTTGAATCTTCTGTAAATAGAATTACTGACTGATTATAAGAAGTCCAGCTAATCAGAACATATCACAGACCAAGTATATACACTTATGAAGTAAGTAATGTTACTCAATCGGATTTGAACCGGAGGTTTTTTGTTGTTGGCATAAATACAAAGAACAGATAAAGACTTAAAACAACATACTTTCTTTTCAGCTTGTATCACAACAGTACAACTTAACGTCGTCATTACGACATTACAAGATCACACATCATAATGTTATATAAAAAAGGAATTAATATTCTTTGGTTAGTATCTAAGGTTCAAAATTTCGAAGGCACATTGATCGATCAATAAAAACTGGTTAATCACAAGGATAAATTGTTCACATGGAGATAAATGATTAATTCATAGGAATTTGTCATTTGTTTGTTTGTTAATTTATGATAAGCAAAAAGAAAAACATAGTCATATTCAAAGAGATTGCAAAAATGAAAAGATTATTAAAAAAAAGGTACATCGAACCAATCGAGGAATATTACAAATTCAGGCGCCAGAGATCAGTTACATACAGTACCAAAAAGAAAACTAGTCTGATGTAGTTGTCGATTTTTTTGTAATTTTACATAAATAGTATTATTCATAATCTGATATATATTTAAAGAAAGAGAATTCATCCAACACATGAAGAACATAATCGTTTCACTGCATCCCTGTAAACAACAAGATAATAATGAAATATAGTTAAGCTATTAGTAAAACTTTATAGAGATATATAAGACATATAAGCATATTACGTGATGCAACAAAAGACTATCATGGGTTAGGTGAGAAAAGGTAAAATATAATCAAACGAATAGAACAATCCACAAAATGTCGTATGTTGTAAAGAATAGTTGAAAGAGATTTTTTTTTAAAATACATTGTACTGCTTTACTAATCCTACTTCTCCACTAAGCCACTGAGCCGGCCAGCACCCAACGGTGTTAATATCAACTAATCCACGAAATTGATCGACACATCCACCATTGTCATTCGTGAGTTATTATCTCACAACAAACTCAGTTGAACTCCACTGGTCACTGCTTCTCACTAGTACTCTAGGATATACATCTTGAAGCCAGTCACTAGTGAGCATACGTTGATTAGTATCAGAAGGGGTTTTGTGGAGATTGTAGTAATTTCAATCGTTTAGATCATGAGTCAATTGAAACTAGACCACCATGGAAAACCTGGAAGCACTTGATAGCCGTTTCGTCCTATTGTGCGACCTATCAGTAGTACGCATCCATGACCTTGCTCGCGAACGTTGAACCTCTAGACCATTGAGTAGGCATCCAACGGTGTTAATGTCTAACCTCGACCAATCCACGAAATTGCGCGACGATCTTCCATTGTACTGAGGTAGATAACTGAATCTACCCGATACGGATTGGTTCCACTGGTCACGGCTTCTCAATAGAACTCCGAGAATTCCCTTACTCAACTGGAATATAGAGATCAATTGTATTCAAGGGACTTAAAGCCTACTTGTTTGACTGGTACTAATACTAATCGGCCAGTTAAATCGAAGTGTATGGAGTGGACCATGAGAATAATATTTATCAAATGAAAGATGGAATATCTACAATATTAAATCATTGCTCTATGAAAACTCACTGAATCACACAAGTTAACATATATCAGTGAGCTAGTTATAATTAATATACAAACTGGCACATGTGTCATCCAAAGTTGGCACAGAATATATGCGCAACAATATTAGTATATCTGATAATAAAGAATACTAGTGTTTGGTCTATCTCAAAAATAAATACATGTATCTTATCTTTCATTAGAACCTAGCTAATCAAAAACCTACAGTGAACTAAAAGGTCATAAACCCAGACAGTATTACCTGTTAAGATGAAATTGGAAAATTGTCATAATCAACGCTACTGTAAATGCTTTAACAGACTAGTAATGAGTTCTCAAAACAATTTGTTTATGTTTTTAGCACAATTTTATTTAAACAGATATTGGTATATAGGGCCACCATAATATACATGCACCACACAATAAAAATGAGATCGTTAACAGACAGAGAAACGAGGGTTAGTTTAACAAGAATAAAACCAACAAAATTGAATGGAAATGAGTGTATGAGAGTGAAATAACATTAGTCATAATTGGAGAAGCAGTTCAGTTGAAAAAAGTACAACCAGAAAGGATTTTTTCAGATACAGAAGTTACTCGCACTTTTATGAAGTAAAAGAAAGTTACAGAAGATTCGTCACTGACTTCTATTTTAAGCCATGTATGTTAACAGTCTCCACAGCCAATACACTACACTATCTCTAGGTTTCCAACCAGGAATTCATGAAGAACCGACAGATACCAGTCCTGTACAGCTTCCTTTCATACTCAGTCAGTCAGTCAGTCAATAACAACGTAGAACTTCGTACGCACGTACATCAGTTCGAGTTGCTACACCACATTAGCACAGAGATGCAATTGTCGATTCAAATCCCATAGTGGTAGAGGTAGTAAAAGTATGAGCAGTGATCGGAAACATTAGGGCTTGAAGATGTTATTCAAGGAGTATAATACAGTGAAGTAAATTTGGAAAGAGAAAAAGAAAAGGGACATGAAGAATTCAGAAGATTAGAATTTAGGAGAACACAAAAAGTGGACGCACCTGCCCCATTGCAAACGATTTTGAGCCATGTCATTCAGGGTCTCTAACCATCGGTTGCTATCATCTCGCGGTCCCCGACCAGGTAGTCTACACACACCATCATGGCTCAGTCCACTTGTCAGTGACCTCATGGACTTATGCCATGTTTTGATCTGGCCACTCCTAGCTTTCTTCCAACCTACTCCTAAAACATTGAACCTCGCACGTCGAGGCAGTCGGTGGTTGGGCATACGTAACACGTGTTCCAGCCATCTCAACTGATGAAGTTTCACTACTTCATCAATTGATTTGCTATCCTTACCTAATACACGAAGTGTGAATCGAGTTGGTTCTTTATTTTGAAATGGTGCGGTCAAATGAATTACCCTACTCGGGTCCTGTATGCGCGTTTCGGAGACGCAGCACACATCGATGGAGCGAGATTCTAAAGTCCTAGCTAAGGAAGCCTGTTGTCCTATTTGGCACAGTGTTTGGACGTTAATTGTTCCTACGTGTAGTTTAGAGAGTGGTTTCGGGAGACCAGGAATAACGTTCCGCGTGCTCGAATCGTTTGCCGTAGCGGTGCCAGGTGATAAATAGACGTGAGAAGGGCTAGTCGTGGAGATAAGATATTAGGAGGTGTAGGAAGTATTTGAATGTGACCGACTTGGTCTCGAGTGCTGTTACGGGTATGAGGGCTGATGTCACTTCCCGGCTGCCCACACCGTGGAAGGGTATTTCTTGAGGAACCTGAAAAGGAAGTTGGATTAATGTTGGCCTTAACGACTCATCTATCAGAAGGTAAAGATATATCGCGTAGGTATGTAACAATACTAGTTATTGCAATATGCTTTCATAAATCAAAAAAGTCAAGGGCATTTATTTTACTACAATACTGTCGAAAATGTATTCAAAACATGCAACGTATATGTATTTGCTCAACTGTACAAAACAACTTACACTTGATTTGTTTAAAATTTCCCATCGTTTATCCAAACTATTGGAAACTAAATTATACGCTGCAAATACTATTGAACAACCACGTATAAATATGCTTCAGACAATATCTTTCGGTATAGGTGGATAAAAACATCTTCGATTAGGATTGGCCATTACTACTATGTCATAGACCGACTACTTCCATTTTTTCCAACCGGTCCCAGCGTCGGCAAATAATAGACGATATGTAATTCGCTGGTACGACATTCATAGTACGTGTCCAAGCAACAGAAGTCGGTGTTTCAAGTTGGTGACAACAATTGGATTTTCGTCACTGTGTCCGAACACACGTTGCTGAACACCCACATAACTAACATGATATTAGAATATTAAAGATTCCCATTGTGAAAATTAGAGCAACACATACAAGCGAATAATTGTTTTCAATTAGATCGTCATCAGGCTTTACTCTAATATACATGAATAGTTATACGAAAATGTTAAACGAATCAAGGCGATATGGGTCAATAATCACAATGAAATAGAATAAGTCTCTACACATAATAGGTAAAAATACAAATTGATAGTAGGAAGACGGGTGTACTGATAGTAGTAAGAATAATAAAATACAATAACAAAACTCTTATCAATAGTTAAATGTTGGGAATAGCAGGTTAAACAAACGTGGGTAAATAGACTTGGAATAGTCACCACAAAACATTAAAATCATTACGTAATAAGATGTGTGTAAATAATTAGATAGTGAAGAATACAAAGAGGCGGAAAATTACAAACAAATAATGGATGTGGGAATAAGGTTAATGATAACAAAAATAGAATAAAATAAATAATAACAATAATAATTAGAAAGAATCGTTAGTTAAGTTAGAACTGGTCATGGAAGGGATAGAGGGCTTACGTATTTCTTCTGTACACATAAATTGTCGACCAGAGATGTCTACTCAAACGAAGGATAAGTTACCTGAGTTGGCCTCTTCTATGTGCATTTACAAATTCAGCTGCTCCTGTGGAGATAGCTATATAGGGCGTACTACCAGGCAACTTAACCAACGAATGAGTGAACATCTACCAACTTGGTACATAAAGGGCCAGATAAAATCTATTCGCAGTTCTATCTTGGCACATCACATTGATAGCGGTCATGCTGTAGATAAATCAATATCATTTCGAGTTATCTATCGTATACCTCCATCATTTCCCGACAGAGTTCGTTCCCACCTCCTACATATAGCTGAAGCCATTGGAATTCGTACATATAACCCCAATTTATATGTACAGAAGAAATACGTAAGCCCTCTATCCCTTCCATGACCAGTTCTAACTTAACTAACGATTCTTTCTAATTATTATTGTTATTATTTATTTTATTCTATTTTTGTTATCATTAACCTTATTCCCACATCCATTATTTGTTTGTAATTTTCCGCCTCTTTGTATTCTTCACTATCTAATTATTTACACACATCTTATTACGTAATGATTTTAATGTTTTGTGGTGACTATTCCAAGTCTATTTACCCACGTTTGTTTAACCTGCTATTCCCAACATTTAACTATTGATAAGAGTTTTGTTATTGTATTTTATTATTCTTACTACTATCAGTACACCCGTCTTCCTACTATCAATTTGTATTTTTACCTATTATGTGTAGAGACTTATTCTATTTCATTGTGATTATTGACCCATATCGCCTTGATTCGTTTAACATTTTCGTATAACTATTCATGTATATTAGAGTAAAGCCTGATGACGATCTAATTGAAAACAATTATTCGCTTGTATGTGTTGCTCTAATTTTCACAATGGGAATCTTTAATATTCTAATATCATGTTAGTTATGTGGGTGTTCGGCAACGTGTGTTCGGACACAGTGACGAAAATCCAATTGTTGTCACCAACTTGAAACACCGACTTCTGTTGCTTGGACACGTACTATGAATGTCGTACCAGCGATTTACATATCGTCTATTATTTGCCGACAAAAATATAGTAAAACACTTTGTGTATGCTTTTACCACAATTAAGTACAAGTGTAGTTGAAGTTTATGATATTCTTGTGTCTCATTTTTATTCAAAACAGTCGTACTGAATATAAATGAACGTTTAAAATGTGAATAAATGGCTGGGCAAACGAGTCAAATTTGGATAGTGTGATAAGAGAAAGATTATCACAACTATGTGACATAATAGCTTAATACATTTCGAACGATCTGCTCATACATATAGTTGTTAAAAACATTCATATATGAGAAATTAGGTCAATTAAACAAATAGAATGTAAGAGAAAACAAAAATAGTGTGAAACTTGCCACACTGGATAACAAACTAATATTACCAGGGTAGGTTTAAGGTGAGAACAAACAGTTTCTGAATACACAGAGAGATTTGGAATTTCGTATGGCCAAGGCTTCAATATACCGTGGTATGCGTCATTTAACACTTCTGTACGATACCACAAAAGCCGAGTTAAAATCAACCTTATGACCTGGCAATAGGTCATAAGATCGTTTTCTCCTACACTCAATTTGTCTAGTTAACCTAATATTTTTATACATAAATGTTCTTAACATGTGCGATCAAATTGTTCGAAATGCATTGCGCTGATACTTCACATAATTATGATAACCTTCGTCTTCTTTTTACATTATCAAAGTGAGTCAAAGACTCGCCATTAACAAATCGGACAGAATTTCACTGCTACAGGCTAATACTCGTAAATTTACCGGAGAAAATGTCTGTACTTAAGTATCAAATATAACTGTAGAGGTCAATGGTTAATAAACTACAACAGTTGGATTAATTTCTGTGGTTACAATAAGACTTTTGTCCCTTCTTGTAAGCATAAACTCTTAGTAATGAGGATTAGTAGAAGAGAATTGTGTTCAGCTCCTAAACTTTATTTAATATATTAACTAATCTTATGATAAGATCTTGGGTCACTGCACTTAAAGACCTCTGCAAATAACTAGTCAGTTCCTGCTAACTGCTCCCTTGGTGCAAGCATCAAGTTAGTTATGATCCTTAAGTATTAACAGACAAGAAATTGAGCTCTACTCCATATTGGTCTTGATAGGAATCGCATAATACTAGTAAGATTTTAACCGATAAAATCTAGTTTACAAACTTTGTTATTACCGATCTTGTCAAATAATTGGTATCTAAACTTTAAACATAATATAAAGGGTAGGAATATTCCAGGAAAATTCAGTTACCACCATGTTAAAATTTAATAACAAGTGCAGGTATGTTCAAAAGTTGCAGAGTCACAACTTTTATGTCAAGTTTGATATATACTATTTGTTCCATAAGTACTGAATAACAGACGTCTTGTAATGATGATTTATTCGGTAACAAACTAGAGAAAATTCTTGGAAAATATGCAAGATTACGTGATTGTGGAATATTATGTCGATGTTTTAATGTGAATAAATTATTCTCAATACTAACAGTAATTTGCACACCGGTACATTTTCGAAATACCGTTAATCTAAATTGAGACATACTTTAATAATAAGGTTATTTCGATGTAATTTGGATGAGTTAATTTTACGGCTCTTTGGTATTCAGCTTAAGTAGTTGAAATTCGCTAATAACTATTTACGAAACTAACGATTACTTAACATTCAAAATGACATACTGATTCCTTTGTGCTTGTATCAGTTCATTCAAGCATCAATAAACAATGACTCTTGAAAACTGAAGAAAATGTTATTAACACTACAGATAGTCTTTATTCAGTTCAAGTCATCATTTTCATTTCTGAATCCTTACTTACAAAATGCTTTGTGTATGCCACTTATGGCAGGAATGGACATCTTTGTTTAACACTATCTGTGGTTAGTACTAATAAAGTCGAGACTTTAAGTATCCACGTAACTTAAGTTGCTTTAAAGCACGCTTTTGAAGCGCTTTAGAAGTAGCGAAGTAGATATGAATTATAAAACACGTCCATTTGCAGTATGTCAACTAATATATTTATTAAATTGCATATTACATGGATGGAGGTAGTCGGTAAGCAACCTGGAAACTAGGTTTCGTGCTAGTTAGCACTAATTAGCAAGACTTACCTGGAATCTTGAGTGGACTAATGGATCCAATAGGATTTGTATTCACATTATCTAGTAGTACATTCTGAGATTACTGATGAACTATTTGGGATATGAATGGTCCGTAGGATTGAGATTATTCAATCACTTAGCGATTAAAACTAATTTCATGTTTGTTTGGATCTGAGTGCGATCGAATTTTGTCGATTGAACTAGAATGTGAACATAAGTCCAAGTGAATCGATAGTGTTTAGTTCCCAAAGGTTGCAGATACTCCTTGTTAATGAATACCAACTAGCACGAAATTACTAACTAAAAGACTGACTAGAACTAATCCAGTCGGGGCTAGATCACCACCTAGTAGACATTATCAAATGTCTAGACCCGTACCGAAACAACGAGAAGCGAGCTCAATGAAATTGATCGGTTTACGCAAGCATGTGACAAAAATACTGGAGATTAACTATTTTAACGAAAATGTTACAGAATGCAGATCTAACCACAAAGGAAATGTTGATGATAAAATCGAAAAACCAACTTAGCTAAGATATCAATTATTTGAAATTATATCAAGTTAAACACATTAATATAATCAAAAACATGACAGAAATATTAAACAAATAACTAACGGGATTACCTAGCATAAGGGATGTACGAGAGTGAATACCATGTCAACGCCAACGATTGGAGAATGCAAAATATTAAGCAGAGGAGACGAAGTCCCTATATATGTTGGACATTATTACAAATAATATTTACCAGTAGTGCGAAAACGATTGTGAGAACCAAACATACCTGAATTGCATTATTTTCACGTAAAAAAATAGTGGAAGGGTGACTTTACCAGCATGATTACTGCTGCGAAAATTCTAGTCTCCTGAAACATACGCTTTAACTGATTTACGGGTCCCATCAGGAAAATCGTGCTAGTAGGACTTCAAGAATACATAATACTGATTACCTTCCCAAAGAACATATATTGCCAAGCGTATAAAACAGTGCAAAGAGTGTGATACCTGCTCCAGGCAACCACAAACATAAGGATCCCTAGATCGTAAGCAAAAAAATGTTGTTTTTACCAATAGTGACATCACGATACCCACTACTAAGCATATGATAAACGCTTTTATACGTGTACTCCAGCTCAAAGAACAACCATTTTCGACCTAAGAAATTGTGAAACTCTCTTCATGCATACGTCTGTGAATATTCCTTGTTCATCATCATCTCGTGTAAACCACTGCTTTACTTTATCCATTGAAACAGCTGTGGAGATGTACAATCGAATATCCGCCAGTCACCAGCACAAAAATGTACTTATCTCAATATCCAATATGTTCGTATCAAGCTTACACAAACCAACTGGCTTTTCGTTGTTTCAGTATGGACATATAAACTTTAGCCTAAGAAAGTGTGTTCGCTTCACAATATTAAGCCTTGTGGAATCAGCAGTTCTCATATTACTAGGTAGGAGGAGGGTTGGTCACTGTTTGAAAAATAAGGAGAAAAATCGATAGCTAGAAGTCAACTGTTTCAGGAAGCGAATAAATAAATAAATAATTTGTTTAACTGGGATTCATTGGGTGAGAGAAGACAGAAAAGAAGGAATAAAGATGGAACGGCAATGATAATAGGTGAGATAGGTATAATTTAATTATATGTGATAATCATAGTTGTCAGACATGGATCACGTGCATATAGCTCAAGTGAGATATGGCAATTCCTAAGCGATTGGGCATTTGTTAATTCCTAGTTGAAACTATTCTCTGATGGAGCTGCGGTCACTTCATCTGGGAGAGCATTCAATATGCGTCCAGTTATTAGCAAGAAATAGTGAGAGTGTACCTGGTTTTTCGTTGTACGGTTTTACAGAGGTTTCCTAGAGAATCCGATAATGAATTCCTGGTTAAATATTAGTTTTTGGGTGGCTTGGAGTACTTAGTGGGCTATGTGCAATTATCAGATCACTTTTTATTCACCGACACATACTGCTTACCATAAACAATTTAAGGCGTTGGAGTCGGTCTCCGTAAGATCACTTTCTTGGGCCCATCACCCGCTTAGTTTACTGTCACTACACTTTAAGAAACTTTTTGAATTTATTATGAATCCAGTGGGTGTCTGAATAAGACATGTACCGGTGTATCGATGGCTTTTGTTCACTTTTCCAGGATTACAGAGAGAATGCTATCGCGTATCGGTTACCCTTCTAGACACAGTGACCTTAAACTTCTGATGCTAATCAGAGAGATAAACATATGTTTCTGAGGTCATCAGATGGTGCTAGAGTCTAAGAGTGCTCTGAACCTGTAGGTTGTTAGTTCATTTGGTCGGAAAAGTTGAGGTTAGAGATCTGTGCCATTCCTAAGTTGGAATAGTCTCCGTTCGCCTATCTAGGAGCACAGATAGCCTGGTTTGTGAGCTTTTGTTTAGCCAAGAATCTGAGAACGTATTTCTGGTTCGCTTGTATTTTGCCTGTTAGCTTGTTCTGAAAATATATCTACTGCTTCAAACTTTGACGTTGCACCTATTTCTCGATCTCGAGTAAGAGCTACTGTCAGAATTGTCTTCGGAAACTTTCCATCTGTATGGGCTCATCTTTACGTCCGTATCGAGCGTTCTGTGTCTCTCTTGAGGAGTATTTTTTTCGCGGGTGTTTTTTCTTTGAGGTACATTGTGTAGGATAGCTTTCTGAATAATATTACTCGCCATCTCTCAGTGGTCACCTGCTGTTAGCCTTCGTCACTCTAGTGACCATGGGGGTACGGTAGATGTTCCTTCACTACACAGTATTCTTTATTAGTATAGCAAATCTATGGGGGGTGTTATGGTCAGTATTCCTCAAGGGTGGTTAGATAAGGACCTCCTCGATAAGAAGCTGACTACTCGACAGTATATAGCCCTGAATATTCTCCATCCTCCTTTCGTACTGTGGCGTGGCCTGCACTTTCAATTAGACCCAAACCTTTAATGTTTTCAACAGGTTATTTTTGAAGTCACCCTCTCAGTATTGCATTCTCTGAACTGAGATTTGAAGATGAAGTGCTAAGTTCTCCTACCATACGTCTGAGCCTGTGCATACTAAATAAGTTGAGTGTAACCACACTGGTTTGAAACGATTCCAGATCACCATCCTAAATCCATGTTATGATTTTAACCACATGGATTCTACGTTATGAAAAAATCAATCACCCCATGTTCATATTTTTTAAAATGGAATGCAAACAAATATTTGGCTTTCTTTGAATATTTTCAGGCGTTAAAAGGAGAAGTGAAACAATATGATAGTTAAGTACAGCATCTGAACACTGAGCAGATTAACGTGAAATCATGGAATAGAGTATGGAAAATGAAAGATATTACTGTTAGAAATGTTCAGGAGATGTAAATACAGTAATAAATAATTTGAATGTCAAAAGTTTATGTAAATTTTAAAAATACTACACAACGAATACATATTGCACGCCACAAGCTCAAAAGTTGTTTGCAACGAGGCTGGCTACTGAATATTAATAAGTAGTATAAGATAATACAGAAAATATAGGATGGTTGTAAAGATTGAGAAAATAAACAGGTTCAACAAACTGTTTTGGGCTACACCAGTGTACATCTATAATTTTACTTCATTCTAATGTAAACCATTAAATATGAATGAATAGTCAGTTGCATATTGGTCTTTTGCTTTCACCAACCACAAAGATAATTGTTTTAGTAAGAGGAAGCTTGAGTATACAAATAGACAATGTATGACGAATTGTACCATAAATTAGATTCGATAATAAAAAAACATAGAGACGTGCATATCCAATCATTTGAAATAGAACTGTCACTAAGCAATTATGTCCATAAATTATGCTTGCAAATGACACATGAAAATATAAATGAGTGTTTAGGGAAGAAGGACAACAAGAATGATGGTATATACAGAAGGTCACATGCTATTTGATTTGTTAATAATTGCTTGAAAGTTAAAATAAACGAGCCTTGGCTTAGGGAAACCTCTCCAGTCTAGCTCTACATATATATTAGTTGGAGATAACTTGACAATATACTGACACCAATACAATTCTGATTCCTCAGCAGTTGAGTTATGGGATGAATCAAGCTAGGTTTTAGGAAAATATGGTTTAAATTTAGATTATTGTAAAAGAGATTTGATATTTAGTCATTCAATGGTAATAAAAACAGAAGTTTAATTAATACTACTTATATAAGTTTGAGTAAACTCTCGTAAAAAAGAGTTTTCATTGGGTTTGTACAATTTAACTTCGGTTAAATTCAGAATGAAAGGTAACAATTGATGACAAAGTAATTTGAATCCGGCAACTCAAGTCATGTTAGTATAATTAGAAAACGAAAGACTTAAAGTAATAGACGACAATCAGAATTCAGCTTAAAGAGTAACATGTTGAAAGGATTTTCAATTGGGAGTTTCAACTCACTTGAGTATGAATTAAGAGGCTACAATTTATTGTTTCATATTCTCAGTGAAACCAAATATCCAATTAGAACCTCTATTAAAACATAAGCGTCTGCGCGAGAGAGCAGAGGCTCTGGGTTCGAATCCCGCTAGCAGAACCGTGGACGCACACTGCTGAGGAATCCCATAATAGGACTAAACGGCCGTCCAGTGCTTCTAGGTTTTCAATGATGGTCTAGCATCAATCAATCCATGATCTCAATCAAAAACTTAATAATCTTCACAACCCTATACTGTTGATATTTGTTTGTGGTTAATTAAAAGACGTTATGATGAAGTTACTGTGAACTAAATATTATGACCTTTGTCTGTATAACTTATTTCATGAAGTTATTACTATAGGAATTTAGTTAAGCCGTTTATTTTGTCGATATGAAACTATTTAATCGATAAACCAAGGAAGTGTATTGTATGAATAGTAGCTACACAGACACTTAGGATAATATATATATCAAAATCGTAGGAACATATACAAAGTATGTTTGGGTTCTGGCTACCAGTGGAATCCAGGATATACGTTTCATCTTATTTATGATACAACTTTTGAATGTACCTGGATCCAGGTACTCATGTCATATTGAGACTCAAACACAGTCACTGTCACCTAGTTCATTAAACCAGTGAGTCATTTTTAGTTTGTATACTACTAGCTACAACTTAAACGTACTGAACTTTTGATAAAATGCCTATACCGATTTACTCAAGTATATTTTATACCAATAAAGATTGAACAAAACTCAGTCCTGAATATCAGCAACGGGATAACATAAAGTTTGTAAGTTATAGTAATGGTAGATAATCTTGAATGGTCAAACGTGCCAATATACTTTCTTCATAGAATACATCACCAGTGGGAACAATAGAATGTACTTAACACAAAATTACAGGACTTATTAATAAAATCTAACAATCATAAAGTAGTAAATGCTTAATTTGCAAAATGTCCACCAACTGTCTCAAAATGACCCAGACTTCATTGTTCTCACATTTTCATACAAATTGCACCCTGTTTCGATTCTTTACTGTTCGATCCTCTTGTCTCTCTGCTGCCAGACATTCTGTTCACGACTAACATCATATACTACTTATGCCAATATAAGTAGCACGGACCACAATATGACTTATGCAAATCTGATTTACATTTGTAGAATCAATGCTAATTTCAGGAAATGTTTGAAGATTAGTCAAACTCTGACAAACTAAATTAACATAAGATGATTATCTTGTTATATTCTGAATGGATTAAAGTTAGGAATATGTACTAGTCAATGCTGATTCAGTGGTTGAGGGTAAAGCTCTTTTTGCGAGTCCTTAGGATCATTCAATTAAGTCTGAGTGCCAGTTCGGTGTTCTCCAATTTGATATATTTCTGGAGTTAATGTCATTTAATAATTGTAACTAACTTCCTAAGTACAGCTACCAACATAATTAAATTTCTTGCATATGTGAATATTTTTAAAGAATTATGTCATCAAATAACTATTCCTCTAGGTTCAGGAGATTTAATTTGTTTAATCTGGTTGGCATTTTATTTAGCAAGATATGGAAGCTTTCACGTACCTGGGAATCATCATCGATGAACAAAGAGGATCGTATGAAGACGTAAAGGCGAGGATTGGCAAAACAACAATAGCATTCCTACAATTGAAGAACATATGTAATTCAAAACAACTGTCAACTAACATCAAAGTCACAATCTTCAATACGAACGTCTAGACAGTCTTATTGTACGGAGCTGGAACTTGAAAAACTATCATAACCATCATCAAGAAGATACAAGTATTTATAAACAGTAGTTTACGCAAGATATTAAATAT